TATACTAACAATGAAGTATCTGAAAAAATAAATAAACAATCCCATTCACACCAGCACCAAAAAAAATGAAGTATTTAGGAATACATTAAACGAAGAAAGTTAAAGATCTGTATACTGAAAAAATAAGACTTTGAGGAAAGAAATCGAAGAAGATATAAAGAAATGGAAAAATACTGGATTTCATGGATTGAAAGAATTAAAACTGTTAAAAATCCATACTACCCAAAGCCATCTATAGATTCAATTCTCTATCAGAATTTCAATGCAGGGGCACCTGGCTGGCTCAGTCAGTGGAGTGCACAACTCTTGGTCTTGGGATTGTGAATTCAAGATCCACAACAGAGGTAGAGGTTACTTAGAAAAAAAAAAAATTAAAAAATTTTCAATGTGGAAAAAAAAAATAATCCTAAAATTTGTATGGAACTACAAAGACCTCAAATAGCCAAACCAATCCTGAGAAAGAAGAACAGTCAGAGGCACCACATTCCTGATTCAAGATATACTGCAAACTCATAAATCAAAACAGAATGGTATTGGCACAAAAACAGACACTAACCCAAAGGAACAGAATCAAGACCCCCGAAATAAACCCTCAGGTATATGGTCAATTAAGATTTGAAAAGGGAACCAAGAATACTCAATTAGGAAAGGATTAAATAAATGGTGCTGGGAAAACTGGATAATCACATGAAATTGGACCCTATCTTACAACACTCATAAAAATTAATGCATAATGGATTTAAATATAAACCCGAAACTGTAAAACTCCTAGAAGAAAGCAGTTTTTTTCCTTTGCTCCTTGACACTGGTCTTGGCAATGATTCTTTGGATGTGATACCACAAGCACAAGCAACAAAAGCAAAAATAGCATGGGACTACACCAAACTAAAAAGCTTCTCCACAGCACAATAATCTACAAAATGAAAAAGCAACCTATAGTAGGGAGAAAATATTTGCAAACCATCTATCTAATAGTGGATTAATATCCAAAATATATAAAGAACTCATACAACTCAATAACAATAAAATTTTAGAAAGGCCAATGGACCTGAATAGACATTTTTCCAAAGAAGATATACAAAATGGCCAACAACTACATGAAAAGATGGTCAACGTCAGTAATCAGCAGAAAATTCAAATAAAAACCACAATCAGATATAACCTCACAACTGTTAGACTGGTTATCATCAAAACGACAAGACAGGACAAATACTGGTGAGACTATGAAGAAAAGGAAACCTGTGTTCACTGTTTGTGGGAATATAAATTGGTATCTTCACCGTGAAAAACAGTACGGGGTTCTTCAAAAAATAAAAGAAAACAAAACAAAACAAAAAAGAACTACCAGCAGCAATCTCACTTCTGGGTATATATCCAAAGGAAATGAAAAGAGGATATTGAAGACATATCTGTACTCCCATATTCATTACAGCATTAACCGTAATAGTCAAGATATGGAAACAACCCAAGTGTCCCTATATGGAGATACACACACACACACACACACACACACACCCCACAAATATATGATGGAATATTATTCATCCATGAAAAAGAAAGGAAATCCTGAAATTTGCAACAACATAGATGGAACTTGAAGGCATTAAGCTAAGTGAAATGTCTGACAGAGAAAAGACAAATATTGTATAGCTACATTTATATGTGAAATAAAAAAACCCTGAATTCATAGAAACAGAGTATTATGGTGGTTAGCAGGGGCTGGGGAATGGGGGAAATGGCAAAATGTTGATCAAAGGGTACAAATTTCTAGTTAGAGTAATCATTTCTGAGGCTCTAATGTACAACACTGTGAATATACTTAAGAATAGTGTATTAAGTCGTTGAAAGTTGTTAAGAGAGTAAATCTTAAATGTTCTCACCACCAGAAAGTAATGGTAATTATGTGACATGATGGAGATATTAGCTAATGCTGTGGTGGTAACTAACAAAATACATAAGTGTATCCAATCACACAATGTAAATTTTAAACTTACACAATGTTATATGTCAATTATATCTCAATAAAGCTGGAAGAAAAAAGAATGGTGTACATACAACGCCTGCTTAAGATAGATCAATAGGTTACAAAATAGGAATTATAAGAAAAATATTTTCAAATTAGTGTTATATAGTCATCAGATGAGAAGAGGGTGAGATGGTTTAGAAAAAGTAAAACAATGGCTGCACTAAAGTAGAGTTAGCAACATGGAGAATTCAGAGCAGAGTGTTTTTTTTAACAGAATGAGCTATTTCTATCTTGTTCTTTCAGGCAGTGGAGCACAGTGACACAGCAGAGGATCTGCAGTTAGACAGTTTGAGTCCTGGCTTCCTTCTGTAATCTTGACCAAATTAATTATCTCTATGCCTTAGTTTCCTCACTGTGTAATAGAGATAACAAATAACGGCACCTACCTTGTTGGTTGGTTAGGATTAAATGAGATAATGCACATCAATGTTTGGTGCAATAAATGTTAGCTATTGTTATTTTAGGGAAAATCTTTTCTATAGTTTCAGGCAAAATAAGTCTTGGTGAGCATAAAGATATAAATATACATTAAGATATATAGATATCTTATAGATATATAGATATATATAAAGATAGATATCTATACCTATATCTATCTATCTATCTATCTATCTATCTATCTATTTATCTATCTATCTATCTATCTATATGGGGTGCCTGGGTGGGTCTGTGAGTTGAGCGTCTGACTTGGACTCAGATCATAAGGTTGCAATTCATCGGTTTGAGCCCCATGTCAGGCTTGCTGGTGTCAGTCTGTCAAAGCAGAGCCCAATTCAGATGCTCTGTCCCCCTCCTCTCTCTGCCCCTCCCCAACTTGCTCTCTCTCTCAAAAAATAAAACATAAAAAAAATTATTGAAGACCCCCAAGAGTTCTTAAAATAATAAAGATAATACAATGTGCAACCCGTTCAAGTCAATGTAGACTTTATTCTAATAGGGCTATAAGTTATTGTAATTGTATTAATATTTATAAAGAATGTTTATCATTACGTTATTTCACTTATTTCAAAGTATATTTCCTTGATAAATAAAATTTGGTCATTGGGTCAGATATTAGTAGCAAATATGGTTGATCCATTAAGAATTAGTTTAGCAGTTCTTATACTACATTAGAAGCAGTTACTCATTTTGTTTTCTTCCCCTAGTGGGTCTAGCTCAGAACCTTAAACATGGAAGCTGCTATATGCCTTGCCAATGTTAAATGCTCAATAAAGCTGCACCAAATTGATTTTCAGGTAGTCCACCTGAACAGTGCTGTCTGAAATCTCTTTTGCAAGCGACAAAGCACTATACACCTTAAAACAAGGTCCAATCGCATGATGGTTAAGTACACGGGTCTTGGAGACATGAAGACCAACATATGAATTCTGACTCTGTACAACATGGCCCAGAGTAAGTTAATGTTTCTAAGCTTCTTTCTTTGTTTATGAAATTGAGATAATAAGAAAAAGAATGCATGTGGCACAGTGCCTGGCATATGGAAAGTATTAATTTAACAAGTGATTTACACCAACGGTTAGATAAAGGAGCTTGAGAAAGATCAGTGCACCTAGACTTGCAGAAAATGTTTCAAATTTTGGTGTTAAAGCCTACACACATAGTTTTCTCTCACGAATGAGAAAACACCTCAATATCAGCCCTAAAGACTCCATAGCAACTTACACATATTTTCAACCATATGGATCTTTTCTTCTGTTATAAACTATATTTAGCATATATAAAACTTTCATGTTTTAAACACTTTACAAGTAAGCAGGAATTCTTTTAGAGAATATAAAAATTTTTAGAAAATAAGTACACTCATGAAATGCATTTAAAATTTATGTAACAATTAAAATGAAAATCTATTTGCTTTGAGCAAAACTGTAATGTTCCTAAATTAGCTGACTTTGCATTCTGCCATAACCTAAAGTTGGCTGATGCATGTCTGTTCTGTGATATGATATAGCTTCCAGAGGAAAATAAAAAAATATAAGATAAAACATTAAACTACTTGAAAATTCATATATCACAGTATTTTGGTATTCTGGCATTTTATTAAGGAAGGTACGTAAAAATATGGTGAGCTATGGAAATTTTTAAAAGTGATCATAAATTCAAAGACAGCAATTCACCAAATAACAATTTTCAAACGCTTAAAAACTATAGTTTATGTACCTATTTAGAAATATACCTCCGAATTTTTACATAAAAGCATGACTAATAATTTTAAAAAATAATATTTTTATCGTGATTTTTCTCCACTAGTGGGAAATTAAAATGGTGACAGAAAAGTTTATTATATCACAATAATTTCTTTCTTTTTTCCTTTACCTTTTATATACAATTAGGAATTTTCAAATCACCTTTTCTTTATGGATATTCTTATAGAAATGATACTAGAGGAACTTTTAAAATGCTATGCCTCTGTGACCAATTATAATATAGACTTTTATAGTTACCATTTCACAATAGCTCTTTATTGGAATTGACTAAAAGAATACAATTCTAAACGTCCAATTTTAGTTCATGTGAATTTCAACAAATCTTTAACAATTCTCTTTACCTAATGTGTTTCAGGTTGGGAAGATACAATGGGTTAAGAATTATACTTTTCTGTTACATATATGAGAATATTGATTCATTCATATATATATATATATATATATATATATATATATATATATATATATATATATATATAAACAGTTTCACCCAGTAATTTATGCAATCAAAAAAACCAAAACTCTTACTGGCAACATTTTTGACTTACATTTTCAATATCTTTAACAATTTAAAGAACAGGAAGAAAAGCACGTCTAGGACTATACCTATAGAAAAAGAAATGCAGAAGAGAAATGTGCACTGAAAAATTTCATAATATTTATTTTCTGATTTAGTTTTAAGTTTGCAGTAAGTTTCACCAAATAGAAAAATGTTAGAAAATTAAAGGTATCAAAAGGCTTAAGTCAAACCGAACAAATTTAAAAAATCACTAACCCAAAGCATGCACTGATCCTCTATGCCTGCTGGAGCTCTTGCTTGTTTTAATCACACGGATAGCACTTTCTTTGAACTGCAGCTCACAAAAATTTTCAAGAAACTTTGCCATTTCTTCTGCAACAGTATCCAGGTAAGTTTCTTTAATGAATTGCAACGTTGAGGTGGGAGCTAAAATTTCGTGTAGTGTGTTAAAATCTTCTTTTATCATTGAGTATAACCTAAGCATAGTACTTTGGTATCCATGAGCCATTATGTCTAAATTCAATTCTCTGCTATAAGCAGGAAAACAGTTCTGCAGGAGCTCAGCCAACAGTTTATTCTGTATGCTTTGGTACTTGATTATAACTTCTGATTCTGGATAAAGAAACAACAGTTGTTGTATGCACTGCTTTTTCAACCAACTTTTGTGCTGTGAATTGATGATTTCATTATGGGTTTGTAATTTGTTCACTAAGAAGCGTCGAAGATGTAGTCTTATGTTATCCCAGATAGACTGTACATCCATGGAGGAATCATCTTCCACAGAATGAAGAGAAGTCCGAGAGAGGAAATGGAAAAATACTCCACTTAGAGTTGCCGGGAACGAAACGCTGCTCTGACAGGAGAGATCCCAAAGTAAATCCAGTATCACTTCTTCTTGATTTAGTTCACTCTTCAACGAATCTTGCTAATAAAAGTAAATTATAACATGAGAAATGTGATTAGCTGTAAGAGTAATAGTAAAAATGATTTCTATAGTCACACAATTTCATACTAATTCATTTCAATTTAGAATCAATACTCAAATGGTCTTCAAGGGTTTTTTTTTTGTTGTTGTTTTTTTGTGTTTTTTGCATTTGGAATTTAATCAATTCAGGTATTTTAGAAGGTTAGCTTTATGATCCGTTAAATTATGCATGCTCAGGTGATGATCTATATTTTCAGTTAGCCTTCCAAACATAATATAGTTTTCAGCCCTCATTGTTATCTATCTCCAATATAATCTGAGCTGCAGCTTGAAAATTCTAAATAAAAACCTATAGCAAAACGTTGATTGAAATGTATTCCTCTGACAAAATAAACTCAAGATTATGTCCCTAAGTGATTCCTGGTAGAAAATTTTCATGCCTGAATAAGCATATCTATTATTATAGAACCCCAAATGAACATACAAAATGGAGACCTTTAAATATAGTCTGTGCCCAGAGGTTACTAATACCTGCCATCCTGAGAAATAAAATATAATATAAAGACATTAACTTTCATTTAAGTCCCTTTTCGAGAGCCATGTTAAGAAATATTTTACTTTGGAAATTAATCTGAGAATATTTCAGTTCTCTCCAAAAAGATAAGTAACTCAATATGGGGAAAAAATACTCTCAGAATCATTCCCCAAAAGATGATACAAAATTATTCCTTTATGCCTTCTGTGTTGCCAGAAAACAATGATAGGTATAATTATGAATAGTAAAGGAATAAAAAGTTACTTTCTTTTTAGACCTTGTATTACATGCACACATTCTCCTTACATGCTGAATTTCCTAATTTTGTCTCTTTCAGGTAGCACTGAAATTAGTTTATATTCTCTGAGTAGTAACAAGCTGATTCTAAGAAAACTGGAAGCAAAATTCAAGCGGCATTAAATAAGGCTGGCTTTGAAATTTCCTATTGACAGAGATACCACAGGTATTATGTATGATTCAGAATTATGCAGAAGTCATGTGAATTCCAGGAATTTGCTCTGAAGCCATTCTAAGCAGTGCTCTATCCAATTTAATGTTCCATATGTAATATAGATAGATAGATAGATAGATATAGTATTTTATTATATAAAAAGCACTTATCTATCAAGTCTTTAGCTTATTCACAATAAAAATTCTGTGATACAGATATTTAGAAACCTAGTTTGCAGATAAGGACACTAACATGCAACATGTTTAAGGTACTTTCCAGATGTCACACACAGTAAAGCACAAGACCAAGAATGAATCCGTGGCTTCATTCTCCCTATCTATGTTCTTTCTACTACACTCCAGAGAGCCACAAAGTGCACTGATCTTTCTGAAGCTTCTCTCTCTCTCTCATCCCTCTCTATTTAGTGCTTTTGATACTTCTAGAAAAAAATGGTAAATTCTATGAAACAAACAAGTCATGTTAGTGCCTCTATCTTGGGTTTCTTTTAATCAGTCTAAATCTGTAAATATTTGATCAAACAATATTTAAAGAATAATAGGTTCAGGACACGTGTATAGTATGACTACTTAAGTTTGAGAATAACTTCAGTATAATTGTCATAATGAGAACCTCTGTTTCTTATTTAAGTACTTAGATAATAAATTAAAAAATGTCTATTAAAAAAAAGAAAGCTATGAAAAATGGCTGTTAAGATTGACAGCTTTAGCATGTAAAAACTTTATAATAAGGTCATTTCAACCCGAATCTGTTTAATAATGTGGTTCTTCCCTCAAAATAACACGATCAATTATTTAAAAAAAAAAAAACCAAAACCTAGGTCTGGAACAACCCTATCAGTTTAATGAATTTGAGCAAAACTAAAGCGGCCTTTGCCCTGCAGTGAATACAGAATGACTTATGTGTGACAGATTAAAAGATAATTAAAAGCTTTTGCTTTTAATTAAATGAGAAAGCATTATTACATCAATATTAATGAAATTCAATACACATGGCTCTTAATAGAAATTAAAGGAATAACTATGTCCATATTTATTCTTCAAGCCTGCACCTTCAAGAGATAATGGGTGAGGGGATTTTCTTAAAAGAATAGGCTTCAGGGCACATAGTCTTCCTTTCTCTTCCTCCTATTACTTTGTAAACATTAAAGAGACATCTGCAATAATAACAATAGCCAAAAACTTTTCATCTGATTCTGTCATCCTAAGCCATCTACAACCTCAAGATATTTTCCACATCTGCCTTAGTCAATGTTTGATGTTTAGACGAAAACAGTGCCTTTTTCCCCCTAAAGAAAATTAAAACCATAGCCACAGACATACTGCTTTCTAACAATCATGCTGTTTCTTTGGGAAACTGTTGTTGCAAGCTACTCCTTGTAGATATAGGGGTAATAAAGTAAGTGTTCTTACTCCATGGCTACAAACACATCCTAACATAGTGAGTGGTCAGTATCAAAGAATGACCAATGTAGTATTTCCCCATCAATTAACAGTGGTCTTGTAGAAATTACTGCCTTGCTTGAAAAAACTGGGTATGCCTGCAGTTTGGGAATACACGGAATGATAGACAAGGCAACTTAAAAGATACAATCAACGGTGATCTCATTATGCTTAATAATAAGCACAGAGAAGATGAGTGGTTGTGAAGGACATAAAACATAATAAATATGAACTTTTCTGGTAGACAAATGTGTGGTACGTATCAATCTACACATTTTGGAATTATAATGTTTAATCTCCATTTATATAAAACTTCATTCTATTGATACAAATCATTGTAAAAGGTAAAAAACAAACAGCTCACTGTACTCCACTGGGGATACAGAAACCAAACAAAACCCCAACCCCTAGATATGGTAGGATAACAAGGTCACTAAAATATTTGCATATAAGAAGCTGAATGAATTATATTCCTGTTCACCCACCCCACCTCACTATAAAACAAAGGATTTTTTTTTTGTTTGTTTTTTTACCAGTGTTGTGAGGAATTTTATCAAATCTCCATGGGGAATGGAAGGTGACTTGGATGAATTATAATTATAGTTATCTAGCCACTCAAAACAGTCAGTTGTCGTTTGCAGCTGCACATCTGGACACTGCTTGTTAACTTCAGATTGTATTTCTTTAATGCAATGTTCTATGCTATAAAAAAGAAAAGAAAAGGTTATTTTGGTAGGAAACAAGTAATGGCTCCATGTCATAATATCACAGGACCTGAGATGTTTATACGTGGTACCTGGTTGAATATGGTTTACAAAATTATAAAGCATTCTTACGATAGGAAACAATAACAAAGAGACTACATATTTTCATTCATAATTGAAAACTGAATGCTCAGATTTTCTGGCAATTTCCTATCACACACAGTGGAGGAAATACAAGATATAGGATATCTAGATACTCTGAGATGAATCAGAAATCATTCTGTGTTAAAACAAAAATCAAGCATGGCTACAATGAAATGATGGTCCTCTTGATAAGCAGTAGATGGAATGCAGAGATAAGATACTCATGTTGACTAATGATCATAAACATAGTCTATTAATAGGTGAATGACTATACAAATTATGGAAAACTTCAATCAATGGGATATTAAAATGTCACAAAGCAATTACAAAAACCTTGTAATTTTAAAAGTTGTAAAACACAGATACATGCTGTATACACACTGTTATTACAGCCAACTATCTTTTCCTGCCCTGGAACTCCACTCCAAAAAACGAAAACAAAAACATACTAAACACTGTATTAAAAAAAAAAAAAAAAAAAGACTGGAAGGAAATGAAACAAAACAAATGGTTAATAGCAATTATCTTTGGGTAATGAAATTGATCTTTTACATTTTACTTTTCTATAATTTTCTAAAGTTTTAGAAAGTATATAATACTCATTTACCAAAAAATAAACTAAAAACAGAAAAACTTGTCCAATTGAATCTTTCAATACATATCTGCTTAAAAAATAATATACAGAGTACCCTTAGTTCTAACACTAAATGGATATACTATGTTATTTTAATTTTCATATAAAATCTGTGGATTCATGATTATAAATCTTCGTGGTATAAACTGATGACCTTAAGCAGAATGTCATCTGTGGAGCCACATGGATATGACATATTACTACCACCTGATGGCAGCATATCTAAACTGCAAGAAAGCTTATTAACAGAAAAATTCTTTTGAAGCTGACCGCCCTCACCCAAAATTGACAGCTATGCATTTCCCTCTTAATAGTATTAAGAAAGATCTGTTACTAAAAAGGTTATTACTGTTTTGAAAATATCATTGCTATTAATTATAGATACCATGCGACAAAATTATTTAAGCTTCGGAAACCAAACTGATTATTAAAACTGATGTCATATGAATGGCTCTTCAAAAATCATCAGGTGTGGGTTGCCTATAAAACACACTGTCAATTTAAGGAAAGCTTTTCAGGAGACTTCTGAGCATGAGTGAATTCAAAACTGAATTACCATGAAACAAATAACATTCTGAGACTCAAAGAGCTTTTTCATGAAAACAAGAAAAAGAATACCTCCTTAGGCCACAGGCCATGCAATTTCCTGATGGGACAATTCTATTCAGGAATACCACTTCTAAGTCAGCCTTAATATTGGCAGATATGTTTTTAACTTATGTAAGCACATCTATGGATGAGAAACATGATACCTGAAGCATACACCTTAACTCTAGGGACCCTTTAACAAAGGTTTTTATTATAGCATCCTCATGTGTCTCATTCAATGAAACCTAATAGATGATAGCAAAGTGAATTGGAAAGGCTCAGTGCTGAGTCTGCCTAAATCTGTTTCAATCAAGACTCAGCTTTTAGGCTAATCTCTAACATCTGAATCTGGGTAGAGGCCAATAACCACAATCTATAAATAGGGTAAAGCCTTCTGAAGGCTAGATATTTTAGTAATTTATCCAAACACTGATAAAGGGACTGAGCAGTTAGTTGCATTTCAGACCACCTCCCTCACTGATACAAACTAAGACAGTTGAGCTGGCTTTTAAAATCACATATTTTTGGGGTACCTGAGTGGCTTATTCGGTTAAGTGTCTGACTCTTGACTTCAGCTCAGGTTATGGTCTCATGCTCCATGAGAATGAGCCCCAACTCAGGCTCCTCACTGTTGGGATTCTCTTTCTCCCTCTCCCCCACCCACACTCTTGGTCTCTCTCTCAAAATAAATAAACTTAAAAAGTTTTTGTCATAAATTTTTTAAAAAATATTTATTTATTTATTTATTTATTTAAAAAATATTTATTTATTTATTTATTTATTTATTTAT